AGCATCCCACCAGGAAGTTGGAAGGTTCCCGAGCTTGCGACCTCCCGTGGCTCAAAAGAAGACATCACGTAGATAGCTAATCGGGAAGGTCAATAAGATTGTCCATCAAACGGGATCAGAGGAGATTCTTCAATTTGCGGACAAGGATTGATAAGCTATAAATAACCTGTTGAACGAAGAGTTTGCGCGAACTTTGTTCTCTTTGTGATCTCATTTCCCGAGGAAAATATGACGTGTGTAGGCGAGACGACAATCGCGAATCTCTGTGAGATCCCGAGAAAGGTGGAAGAACGGCGCGACGGTTTTCCGTAATGACGTCCGAAGACATCCCAGACGTTTGGAAGACGAACAGGGAGCTTAAGTACACTCTAGTTATTCTCGCTGAGAGTCCTAATCCAATCGGCGGACGTCCAGACACGAGGAAACAGTAAGCGATTGTTAACAACGAGTGCTCGGGTCCGGGAGGATTGCCATCCCCGAGAATTGATTGTTTTGCTCTGTACTCACTGTCTACTTCCTGCGTCCGAGACCAGAAGACAACGAGCGAACGTTTTCGACATGCCCCATAAGATTCCCGTTTCAATGTCATAGAACAAAAAATAAGAGCCGCTAAGCGAGGCGTGCCTGCCACATCGGAGACGACCCCGCCGCCGCCACCACCACCACCATCATCATCAGCCGCGTGACCTTCATGGGACACGACGACGACAACAACGACAATCGCTGCGAACTCCGAAGCGTGCGGGAAAAGCGAGAGTACTGTTCCGAATGGCTCGGTTCGCTTCCCCGCTCTGCCGCTGACTGCATCTCGAGTTGCGACGAAATGGGTTTTCCAGAAGCGATCCCTAACATTGCTGCTGCGGTTCCTTTCTTCACCTCCCAGAGATTCGAAGCCGACTACTTTTGTTATCATTATACGAGGATATAACTGAGTTATGAGAAGGAGTTGCGACCATCACTTCTTGTCACATCGGATGGTTCGGGCGACGATATCTCGCCGCAATGGCTCACTGGAAGGATCGACTCCGAGGTCTTGCTCGCAGAATGCTCCTCGATACGAAGGCTCTGACAACGAGCTAGACGTTTCCGGACGACCACGACGGGATCATCCGCGCTGCGTCGCTGCAGATCTTCGCGACGTGAAGCTCCATCGAGCGTAGACTGATTGGATGTCAGCTCTATCCGAATCCCGAGACAGTTCTGCTTCGTAAGTTCTTCTGGCATGACGGAGATCCTCCGCTCCGATATTCAGAGTAACTAGCCGGAGCTGCCACCGCCGGCGTCCTGATGTGATGATGCGGAGCTGTTCCTTCCCTTCCAGCTTGTACGGAGCAAGTTCGGTCGTGTGAACTCCCTGATTTTGGGAGCTCGTTATCGATAATCGCGACCGCGTGTTTGTGTTCATTCCATCATGCAGCTTCTCGCCTGTCAGAGTGTCATTAGTTCGAACGACATCATCTTGCGAGCGATGTTTCATTTTTTTTCGTAAAAGCAGCTTGTCCTCAATGCCTGCCACTATGACTTGCTAATGATCGTGGAGAGAAGCCCGCAGGGAAGCCATCAGCCATCAGTGCTCCAAAGTCTTCGGTGCTGTAACAATATGTTTCCCCCCCCCGCTCGTCCCACGTTGACTCTTCGAGTCGCACAGCAGCGTCAACATGCTCCATGCTTCTCGGAGATACCACGCCGACCGATGAGGTGCAAGAAAGCGTTCAGGCACCCCCGAGGTTTTTCCGAGCCTCGGAGGGCTCTGATGCGGGTGCTGCTGAAGCGAGAGGCCTCAAGACTGACTGAAAGTATTCCGGAAAAATATCCAGTGTCAGACTGAGTGCGCTTCTACCCAAGGGAATCCTCGACCCCGACGCGAGCTCATCATGAAACACTGACGAGGAGAGTTTTCGTCTGATCGGACCGAATCATCGATCGATTATTATTCGTCAGGGAATAGAGGAAGCTTCGATCCCACTTCTGCTCTACATATTCCTCCGTATGGTCATTCCACGATGGCGCGATCGATTTGTCACACTGAGGGAGCCTTCTATCGACAAGAGCTGATACGGCGATGTCGTGCGGATCGAGGCTGCGGAAGGATTATTAAATGGTTTCATGGAAGGGTCCCGAAGATTCGACCGAGCCTTCCGGTGCCGCTCTGCTGCGGTTAGATGTGCGCACACGTAACATACAGTAGATGCCCACGACTCATTCGACACCTTTTGCAATACGTTAACATACGTCTGCGAACATATGCTGCGCACGATGCCTGTTTGTGGATACTCAAATTCGGAGCCAAGACCTGGTAGGGAGGACGAAGTCACGCGCGCTCCTCGCATTTGAGGTATCGAAGCTCTCATAGTTTATCAAAAGAGTACTTCGGGAAAGAGCCGTAGCTCGGGCCGGACCAGAGGAAAGTCTACCACAGACTTTTTCCCAGAATGCTTCAACTTGCGCCGAATAAGCCGCCCCGAGTAATTCCACATCTATCAGGTACTTCGAGTCTCCGCTGAAGGTTCGAGGAGACTCAAGAAGATTACGGGTGAAGTCTTCCCTTTAGAACCGAGCCCAACAACTCAAACCGCCGCCGCGCCGTTGTACAAACAAGTCTTCCTGACGGTGGACAATGTGACACCGTCGATTTTTCGTCGAGAACTCTCACACCTGTCCAGTCCAGCCACCATAAGAGCAATAGCGATTCTCGTTGAGAGACAGCGCGGAGTGCACCGAAAGACAGAAGCCGAAGATTGTCGGTCACAACTACGCCTCGCGAATTCCCGAAAATGAATGATCGGAAGTAGAGCTGAGGCATCGTGCAGCGAAACGGAAGACGCTCGCTGTTTCGAACGACTTCGAGAGACATGTTTCCGCTGGCTGGGTGAGGTCCAGCAGCTTAGGAGAACCCCTTCGCCGGACCGCTCCTCCGGAAGAATATTCGCGGGGGACCGAAACGAAGAAACGCAAAAGTACGATTGACGTCGCAAAAACTTCTCCGGGAACCACTTTCTCTAGGGTCAATCGTTGTTCCCCGAGGAAAATAATTGCGTTAGTCCCCACATTGACAAAGTGATAGATGATCATGCGCGGGATATCCGTCGGCAAGGCCCACCGGTGGCTTCTACGATGGTCGCACGACCATGACGTGACGTAGGTCCCCGGAGTGTGCTTGAGGTATTTGCGGCATGGAAATAGGATAATTTGGCCTCTGGGAGCGTTCTGCAAATCTGTGCGATGATCGTGTGCAGAAAACTAACGTTTATTCCATCTTGCTCGGGCACGGCATCGTTCCCTTCCGGCCTCGGGCTCACGGAGCTCTCACCGCAACAGCTGCTACCGTCGGCGCTGTTTGGCCACCGGTCAGACTGCTTCGTCGGGAAAGCCATAAAATACCTTAACACTCAACCGCAGAGCCAATATTGACTTGGGCGGAGTGACCGAAAGTCAGAAAGTTCCCAACAAAGAGCAGGAAGTGCTCGTTGCTTGCTCGGAACAACCACCTACCGTGGGAGACGATCAGGTGGACGAGTGAGCGCTCCGAGGCCGACCTCTGAAGGCTCGTAATCGTAAATCGTAGCCATGCTATTCGGCGGCAGATAATTGCCAAGAGCCGTATAATCGCCGAAAATCCGATCCTACCCCATGAGACCGAGACAACGATGCCGGCTCAGCAGCGCGGAGTCGACTGTCGGGGTCGGAAACCCGTCAGCCTAAAAATGGCGAGGACTTTTAGCTAATCAGAACCTCGGAGGATTAACTCGAGAGGATAAAATAAGGGAGTTCGATCCCTGATGGGGAAATCCTTCCGTGTCTGATGATAATTCCTCTTGGACATGAGGTGATCCGAGCGGATGAGAGACCTATCAGGAATGATATGACTTCGACTCGGCTTTCCACCTGCTCGGAATTTATGGGGCGATCGTTCCCGAAATGGCACGCAAATGAGCACCGGACACTGCAAGTGCCCGGACACGAACACTCTTATTACTCTGGATTTCCACGCAGAACGCGACAAAACCTCCACCTTCCCTTTGTGCCGCATATACGATGAATAATACACGTGACGTTGAATATCAAATTCAGCTCCCCGCTGTAAGGTGGAATTCATAGCCAAGGCATTTGTCCTGGTAGAGTCCCGGTAGAGAGCAATTCCGCCTACTATCCCGTGCCCGAGGATCAAACGAAAGGAATCCCGTGCCCGAGGATCAAACGAAAGGAATCCCGTGCCCGAGGATCAACGAAAGGAATCCCGTGATCGCTTGCCGATATTGCGTATCTATAGTTTAGAAGATAGGCCGAGGACGGGCTCATGCTCTGAAGGATTTTACACTTAGAGGATTCCCCCGGAGATAATCAGAGACTTATCGGCTCCTTCGAAGCTCCAATGATTCATCCTTACCACCGGCTGTCAGCACAAACGTGATAATTCGTTCTTCCTATGAGGTGTCTCCTTGCCAGACGTCTCCAGTCTTACCGCGCGCCATTCCGATTCCGTCGACTAGCGTAAACGATTCTTGCATGCGTCAAGAAGTACGCTGGAAGAACGTGTCAGACGTCGGGAAGCCGATTGAGATGCCAGCGGCCCCTTGCCCCGCTCAACGCCTCACAGTGACTCTCTCCAAACGCCGTGACAGCTGTACTTCGACGAGACCGGCCTTGGAGCAGCGGAAAGCGAAATCATGCTGCTTGATTCAAATGAATTCAACATTGCTCTCGAATGAGATTTTTCCTTGAGGAAGGCGTGACGTCCGATAGAATGTTCTCTCATCTTTGAAATTTCGGCATCTTGGACTCTCAAGCCGTCTCTGTCGGTCCTCGTCGGAAAATTCCGTGAGAAGGATCGGAACAATATTTGATCCCCTTTGTTCTAGGAATGAAATCGATTCTTGTCCCAAAAGAACTCATTCCGATCGGTGAGCGGAGGGTGGGTATCCGCGAGAAGCGCATCCTCGATTTTTTCCCGAAGTCTCCTCAATGGGATTTAAAATTAAATTCTTCAAGACGCAACTGACCTGAACGACGATCGGTGTCGTGTAGATAAGGAGCGGAGACGCTGCCGCCGCTGAGAGCATCCAAATGGAAGCGAGAACGAAATTCGTTCTCCGCTCCGTCGTTCTCACATGGAACGGGAACAGGGTAGCGACAAATCTGTCGCAAGCTATCGCCGAGAGCGTGAGAACGCTGCTCGTTACGGCAGTCACTGCAAAGAAAAGTTTTCGATTTAGAGCAGAGTGCAGATCAGGAAACTCTCTGATATTCTTGTGGAGAGGTGCGTGGAAGACACCTACGAGCGAGACTCGTCGCATCGAGACGAACCCTTCTGGCTTACAAATGGCGAATCTAACGTGTTCGGATAAACCTGACAAAATCGAGCCAAGCCCGGCTGGAATCGTTCGTAAGACGATGCAGCAATTGACTGAAAGTATACCGTATCTCGCTCGTTTCGCGGGGAATCAAAATTCTGGGGGCTGCCGTCGACTCGACCGAGGAACTCTAATAAATGACATTAATATTTTTCATTCAGAGCAAATCAGTATAGCCGGAGAACAATCGTCGCGAGGTTGCTCCAACAGGGGGGGGGGCGGGGACACAGAACTGAGCGACGCTACTTCTCTAACGCTCAAACGCAGGAATGATTTCCTTCTCGACTGTTCTTTGATGCTCCCATGCCGAGCGAATTCGATTAATTCCGCGGAAATTCGCGAGTTTCCTCCCCAAGAATTTCTCAAAAGTCCTGCTGGAATCAAGTTCGAGCCGTCGTCCAATGGACAAGAGAGGAGGAATAAAACGCGGACGCAATCGACCGAAGAACACTTTCAGGATTCCGATCTTTGCTAAGCAGGCTATCGTCGGGGAACGTTGAGATGACGGAGTAGAAGTCTAGAATAAGATACTTCACGAATCGCTACGAAGCCCGGGAGCGGAGTCGTGTTACGCAACGCCCCCCGTCCGGGGCTCCGTTGCTCCACGACTCTCGACCGGAATCCTTCGTGGCGAGGACGACTTTATTCGATTGATTTTTCTTCTACTCTCCAGAATCGGCTCTACAGAACGAGATAGATCGAGCGCGAACCGAGCACGAGGGCTCGAATAATACGCTGCGGATCCTCATCCAAACCCGGGAAAAACGCTCCCCAATGCTAATTAATTCAGACTCATGAGGAGCCCAATAGGTGATTGAAGGCCCCTGCTGTATCCTCAGCCACGGAGCGGCAGGACAATGAGTTATACAAACGCAAAATCCGGCGAGAAACGAGCTTCAGGGTCGCGGTGTCGGTCTTACGTCGGCAATGCCAAACGAGAAATTGCTTTTTGGGAGCAAGCGACACGTCAACGACATTTGCCGCACCAAGAGAGCATTGCTCCGCTCCAACGCTCTATCTCGGAATCCCTTGCTCATTTTTCTCTGATAGCAAGCTCGCAACGGTTCATTTATTCTTCTGGCTCGTTAACTGATTCCTCTATTGAGCGTTCGAACCGCAGCCTACTCGAAACGCTCAGGAAAGGCACCACAATCTCAAGGCACACAGAAACAAGGCTGCACTCAATACAATCTCTCTGATTCCACGATTTCCGATAGGGGCTTGTGATCCTATTCGAATCGACTTCTCATAATCTCTGAGCGTGTGTTCGACGATTCTCCCCGAAAGTCACCAGACGCTCAAGTCTCGATATCGAGCAAGATGGTGAGCGGGATCCAGCGGATTCCTTTCATGGTGCGTACGTATGTGTTGAGTGAGTCCCATAGTGGGAGGTAGATCTCGATCGATTCCGCCCGTACACGATCCATCGAAATCGGTGACAATGTGAGAACGTGGGATGTGATCGGATGGGTGGGTGAATCGCTGACTCGATATCCCGCAGATATCATTCACAACGGAATCACTCTTCGATTCGATATTTCTGGAAGCCTCCGCTGCGATCTCGAAGGAAGCCAGTGGGCCATTTCCGCTGCACACGGATCCCTCGGAGATGCTTTAGTCGTGTTTCTCGATTTCTCGCTAAGCTCAGTCGGTTCCAAGTCCCAGTCATATTCGGAGCCCCGCTGACTGATTCCGATTCTTCGATGAAGGTATCCTGCTCCACAAATCGTCATCGAGCTCTCCCGGAAGGAAAATTCCAAGGAGCGCCAAGTGGATTTTTCGTCTCCGAAACCTGGGACACTGTATCGCGGAACCCCTGGAGGAATTATTTCTCCTCGTGTGCCCCCTCCTCGAGAGAACTTGCCCTTTTCCGAGCAAGGGCCCAATTCCGGTGGATCTCAATGACATCATATTCGAGAAGAGAGGCTCAGAGCTTCTCAGAAAAGAGACAAACACGTCCGACAGGAGAAGACACCAGAAGTCCAGGGGTAAATATCGATTGACAGGAGGAGCTCTCGCGCAAGATGCGAACGAATCAGATTCGAATAGCGTGACGCAAACATGTCGGGACGCGCAAACACGCAGGAGGACTTCGCCGAGCTCCTAAGCCGGCCAGGGTCTAGGTCTCTGCGGGGTATGACTCCACTGGAGCCGAACACCGATCGAACTCGCTCGATCGCGGTGGACTCCGAAGTCGCAGCAATCGTAGGACGAACTTCTTGAAACTCTGCACCGGATACGCTTGCTATCGCCGGACACTCCACCCGGCGCTTGTTGCTCATCGGAAAACTTCGATGCCTCCAACTCCAGGAACAAGAATTGCGATGTCTCGATGCAAGTCCAGGCGACCGGAACAAGGTCTCACTAAAAGGACGGATGGGAAGGATGCAGCAGCTGAGCATAATTCACCTGTCAGGGACCACAGTTTTGTCAGCTCAATATGCATTAGGAGGATGTGGAATATTGAGTCGAGGGCAGGGTCCGTGCTTCCTTTGTAGGGCAAATGCCACCGTCTATATTGAGCAAAGTCGGAACCATCGAGATATTAGATTCAGAGGGAATTTCTGAATCAGCCGAAATAGGCAGGGCGGAGCCGCCCGCCCGATTCAATATGCTGGCTTGACCGTTATTAGCGCTCACGCCGCAGGTCGCTAATTCGCACTCAGTTCTAGCGTGAATGTTGGCTCCAATCATCGACTCAACGCGCCAAACTTCCGTCGCGTTAACTTTGTGCTCTGCAAGTTTTGCGCCTGGTCGAATAGGAGGCCAGACTCTCAAGATTCCACACCTGCGAGAGCGATTCGTCTCACGGGATGCGGATCATGAACCCGCAAGGACTGCTCGCAGGTTTCCGGTGATGGGTGGTCGCCGATACAGCTGTCCGGTCGCGAGGATCGGAATTACAAGCATTCTATGAATCGGATGATGGACGAAATTCCGCCCTGCGTCCTAGAAGGGCTTTATCATCTGAAGGGCGAGACCTCGTGAGGAATCCAAGGCGTTCCGCAGCGATGAAGTTTTTTTTGACAGATGTTTCACCTTGCTCGGCCCTGAATTTCCTCGGACTCAGGCTTCGAGAAAGTTGTCGCGGTATTTAGCTGGGCTCATGCAGATACTTGATGCTCTTCTACCTTAGATCCTCATCGTATTGTTCCGTGTGGCTGCGTCACGGGGAGGAATACTCGCGCCTCACACAGGAACCGGAGCACTTGTTGCGAATAATTAGGAGCTCAGCCGAGCGGAAGTTTTCTGCGGCGCAACACACGGTGCCGCGACTGCGGAACGATACGGTTCGGGTAGCAGCTGTACGACACAAACCCGCGAACCAGCTGCGCGATGCTTGCTCCATTCCCTCTTGAGATCAGCTGATAGGCCGAACGAGCGCGAGATCCCATGTTCCACGGAGGGAAAAAGCGTCTTTCGATCCTTCCAGGGACAAAGTTTCTTAGAACGTCGCTCAACTTGAACTTCAGCAGCGAACTAGCGTCGGAGTGTCTCTCGAACAGCCGAGCGGATTCCGAGACGCAAACAAAGTTCGAGGCTTGCGGATTCGGATAGAGTGAAGTTCTATTCTCGGCTTGGGATTAACTTTTTTCGTCGTCTAGAATCCGGTATTGAATTCTTCGAAGCTGTAGTGCCAGTATTCGATAAACGAATCGCACCCCGGAGACCTTCAGACAGCTCGAGTTCCTCGCTGCGATCTCTGGCTTTCTGCTTTCAGACTTCAACAGGACCTCATCCGTCGACTGTGCTCTGTGTGACGAGGTATTGCTTGGAGCGAGTCGTCGAGGCGCATCGAGAGAACACGCTTTGAAATGTCTTCTTCAGCTAGGACTCAAGGATTCGGATCCCACGATGCTATTACGATTGCCGCATAGAATTATTCTCACGGACGAGAAACTTCAAGTCTGATTAGGAGCTTCATTCATTTCAAATACGTCCTGTTGATTTGCGTGAACGTATGAGGGTCATTGAGACTCCTCACGATCTGCAGATGACTTCTGAAGATGGTCCTGATTGACTGACGCGCCGACTGCGAGGAAGCTCGATCTTAATCGTGTATGACTCCCGAACCATTGTCATCTCTCGAGACGATTCATTAAGGCCACGAGCCGCCTCCCGCGACGTCTGGGAGCGTCTTGATTTTCGCTGAACAAAGAGTCTCCAAGATTGATAGTTTTCGCTGCCAGAAAACGAGACGATCTCTGTTCGAGACGCCTGAAACGTCGCGACGAGGGAGTCTCCCGTATGCCCGAACAGAATTGAGCCTTCATCGATTGGCGCAGGACATGGTAAGAGGACACGTCTGGCCTCGCCTTCTGACGTCGTAAACGAGATCTCCCCTCGGGAGACAGAGAGCGAAGCACTCCGGTACTGGTGCGGAGCGGAGTGAATATACACCAAGTGGGTGTATATCCACTCTGCTAGCTGCCTCATAAACTTTAGGAGGGTTTCCCGTTTTCGGATGGACGAGGGAAACAAGTGCGAATGCTTTTTCCTCCCTCGTCTGAGGTGGCGAATTGTGTACCCCTATATCGAGCGCGGCGCCGAGCTGCAACATGATTCGGTGACGCATTCCCGGAAGGAAACAAGCTACCGAAGCTTTCGCATGGTACCTCCATTGAATGGATACTACGAAGGAAGAGAGAGAAACCTCTATTCATCGGATCTTATCAAAGGAAGGGAGCTACCAAGGCGGAGCGCGATGGCCTCGTTGGTTCACTGACGGGCCCGCATATTCCGAATTTTCATTGCGGCTCATGTAATCATTCGCGACGAAAGTCCTTCACGGGGATCCTCTCCCGAACTCAGTTCGAGCTTCTTCTCTGGACTTATT